CTTTCATTTGGGACATGTTTCTTTGTTTCCTTATTTTGGCTGCTTCCCCGTGATTGTTTCTATGAATTAGGTAGAGCTGCTATGTTTCCTAGGCTTTGTAGGGTGGCCTGTTGTTGTGGGTGGCCTGTTGTTTTAGGTGTCCTGTAGGATCCAGTGGCACAGCCTCCCTGATCACCCCAGCTGGGCCCTTGAGATGCACCCCAGTGTGGACTGTACACCCTTCTGTTGTAATTGAATGGGAGGCATGTCAATGGGAGGGATTTACTCATGCTGATTAGCTCCAAGAACTGGCTATGCCCACTGACCACTGGCCTCTGACTACCTTGGAGAATCAGCTGTGCAGGGGCCCACCACCCAGAGCAAGACTTACTTCATCAGGGCTCTGGTACCCACTGAGTTCGCTCATTGAGTGTGTCACTTGTGGAGGTGGTTGGATGGTGGTGTTTCTATGTGGTCTGAAGCTGTCCACTGGGTGTGCTGGCTCTGGGGCAAGGTCAGCTACTGCCTGTGTTATACCTGGGGCCACCAGGCATAAGCTACAGAGTGATCTGCAGATGGCTGCTTTTGTGCTGGGCTTTAAGGTGTCCAGAAAAAGCCAAGTTGTGAACCAAGGCTGGCAGCTTCTAGTGAAAAGCCTGGGGCAACTTAGCCAGAGGTATGGGGCTTGCTGAGACCAGATGCAGCTTGTTTGAGAGATTTTAGGAAACTCTGAAGCAGGATCCAAGACAGGCCAATCCTGTGATAAAGCCTTTGGAAACACCTTGGGTGGGCCCGAAAGTTGGGTGGGGCGGGGCCTCAGGGAATCACCAGGGCAGGGCAAACAGTGTGAGCCAGACTGCTGGAATCCCAGATATGGTGGCCATCTGCCACCCCAGAGAAGGGCTCACCAAAGGAACAATGGCCTCCACCAGCACATCTGTCCAGGAGAAAGCCTCTTTCCAGCCCTTGTCCTGAGGCCAAACAGCTCAGTCCTCCCCTATAAGTCTCTGGCACCCCTCAAGCTGCCTCCCCTCCAAGTCCGAGTAAGTTCATGTGCGGACCCTTTAAGAGGAACTGCCTGGGGCTCCCTCAGCCTCATCCTCCCTCTGCCTCACTCAGTTCTAGCTGGATTTTACAGCCAGAGGTTTTGGGGACTTCTCTTCCTGGCCCTGGAACCCTGAGCTGGGTGCCTGGTGTGGGACAGGGACCCCTCACTCCTCAGGGAGGACCTTCCCAGCCGAGGTATCCTCCTGATTTTTATCTGCCACACATGGGTGTAGGACCAGCCCTTCCGAGCCTCTGCCCCTCTTACCAGTCTTGGTGTGGTAGCTACTGCTTTAATTTCGTAGTTGTAGGACTTCCATTCAGCTCAACGTCAGGCAGTTCTCTTCTTTTTTCTTTAAGTCAGATATTTTAGAAGGGATAATTGACATATAATAAAATTCACCCCTTTTTTAAATGTACAGTTTGGTGTATTTTAAAAGCTGGGTCATGTAATCATTACCTCTGTCAAGACAGGGAACATTTCTACCACCCTAGGAAGTTCCCCTGTGCTCCTGTGTAATCAGTTCTCTCCTCTCACACCTCGTACAGAACAGTCACTAGTCAGTGTACTGTTACTATGGACTTCCCTTTTCCAGAATATCATACATATTTGAAATATACAGCAAGTTACTTTTTGTGTCTGGCTTCCTGTACTTAGCATAGTGTTTTTGAAATTCATCCATTTTGTTGCGTTGAGCAACACTGTATACAATATTTTGTTTATTCATTCACTGGTTTATGGACATTTGGGTTGTTCCCAAATTATAATTATGAATAAACTTTCTATAAACACTTGAGTACAAATCTTCATGTGGCCACAGGTTTTCATTGTTCTTGGGTGGGTACCTAGTGGTGGAATTGCTGGGTCATACGTGGTGTGTATATGTAAAGTTTTATAAGAAATTGCCAGTCTGTTATCCAAAGTGACTCTACCATTGCATTCCCAGCACTTTCTCAAGTGTTGAAACAAGTGCTGAACATTGCAATTGTAAGTGAAAACTATTACATCTCTGTTGGAAAGCATTTTGGTAGTCTGAATCAAGTCAGTAAAAATGTTTATTCTCTTTGACTTGGCGATTCCACTTCAAGGAATGTCTTTGTAAAGAAAAAACCTGAAATGTGCACAGAGATATTGAAGTACCATTTGTAATAGGAGACTGTATGCCTAACATATACTTAGCACTGTTTTTAAAAACAGTGCTAAGTATATGAAAAGTAATCAGTGAGCAGTGTACACTCATTCAATGAAGTTTAAAGTATACTGTATTAAGGGAATAAGCTGCAGGGCTGGAAACTTGGATGGGTTATATTAAAACTTGATTTCAGCAAGGTTTTGGAGCATGGATAAAGCTTGAATTGGAGAGTTGGAGCTTTCTAGATGAAACACAGCATGAGCAGAAGTAAAATATGGCCTGAGGATAAGAATCATTAAAATGTTTTCATGTGGATATAGTAAAACAAAACTGTTGGAGGCTTTTAAAACAATAGAGCAGGAACAGCATATGCTTTAGAGCTGGAAAGACTGCCATAAGGCTCTACATTCTTTTCTTTTTTTTATCCTCACCCAAGGACATTCTTTGGTATTTTGTTCAGATAGAGTGGGAGGGAGAGAGAGAAACATCAGTGTGAAAGGGACACATCGAGTGGTTGCCACCCGCACGACCCAACCAGGGCCAGGGACAAACTGCAACCAAGAGGCTCGACATTCTTATTAAAAGGCTTCAAAGGCTCCCCGATGGCCTAGGATACAGCAGGTGCTCAGTAAATGGCCACTAATGTCATTTTTACTACTAGTAATAAAACGAACAGGAAATTAAGCTTGATAGGGAAACATATTTTGAAAAGAGCACTAATATATAAATTGTATTTAGTCATTTTTGTCTAGTTTACATAGGATAAAAAATAGGGGAGAGCCCTGGCCAGTTTGACTCAGCAGTTAGAGTGTCCTCCACTGACCAAAGAGTCACGGGTTCTGTTCTGGTCAAGGGCACGTACCTCGGTTGTGCTTTGGACCCTGGCCCTCTTTGGGGTCATGCGGGAGGCAGCCAGTTGATGTGTCTCTCTTACATCAGTGTTTCTCTCTTTCTCTCTCTCTCTCGCTCTCCCACTCTATCTGAAGATAAATGGAAAAATGTCCTTGTTTGAAGAATTAAAAAAAGGGGGGAGGGGGATAAAAACTTTTTAACCCTAAGGTATGTTCCATAGAGTGGTGAGCCTTTTAGGAACAGAAACTGTCCTGTTTGTTACATTTATCTTCTGTGATTAGCATGGGTGTAAGGAGTAAGAAAGGGGTGAAGATTATGAGTTGGTCACGGATTTATAAATAACCCAATGAAAGGTAAACAGAAGATTGTCAGTGTTAGTCCTGAAGTATAACTGTAGAATGATGATGTTGCTTGGATGAGGCTGATAGCTTGGGGAAAATGTGACATTAAAAAATTGTAAAATTAGCCCTGGCCAGTTTGGCTTAGCAGTTAGAGCGTTGGCCTGTGGTCCGGAGAGACCCAGCTTCGGTTCCTGCTAAGGGCATGTACTTTGGTTGCAGTTTGTCCCCAGCCCTGGTTGGTCGTGTGGGTGGCAGCCACTCGATGTGTCCCTTTCACGTCGATGTTTCTCTCTCTCTCTCTCTCTCTCTCTCTCTCACTCCCACTCTATCTGTACAAAAATTGGAAAAATGTCCTCGTGTGAGGATTAAAAAAAAAAAAAATTGTAAAATTAGCCCAGCTGGTGTGGCTCACTGGTTGACATCGACCCATGCACCAAGAGGTCATCGGTTCGATTTCTGGTCAGGGCATATGTCCAGGTTGTGGGCCTGATTCCGTGAGGTGCATGCAGGAGGCGGCCAATCGATGTTCTCTCTCATCAGTGTTTCTCTCTCCCTCTCCCTTCTTCCTTCTCTCTCTAAAAAATCAATAAAGAAAAAAAAAGATTGTAAACTCTGGTTTCAGTCAGATGACAGTTTCTTTTATTTAGTTTCTTGGCTATATAGAATGAGAAAATAAAAAAGGGAACTGTCATTTTAAAAAGTTGTAATAGCTAGCCCTGACCAGCGTGGCTTGAAGGATAGAGCATCGGCCCATGCACTGGAGGGTCACATGTTCCATTCTAGGTCAAGGGCATGTTCCTGGGTTGCAGGTTTGATCCCAGCCCGGGTCAGAGCACATGCAGGAGGTGACCAATCGATGTCTCTCTCTCTCTCTCTGTCTTTGTTTCTCTATCTCTCCCTTCGACTATCTCTATTAAATGGAAAAAAATATTCTCTATAACATGGAAAAAATAATCTCGAGTGAAGATTAACAAAATACAATAATAAATAAAAATAAAAAGTTGTAATAGCTATTATTTACTTAGCGCTTTCTATATGCCAGGTATATTACATATTACCTCATATTAAAGTCATGTTACAGATGGGGTAGAATTAGTGGCTTGCCATCAGAAACATAGTTGGTGTTAGAGCTAGGATATGAGCTGTGCATTTAAAAAACCAGCTTAGTGTCATCTCTTCATTCCAAGCAGCCTTGCCTCTAACTCTTTCACTACTTCCCTCCCTCAACCCCCTGCTAGCTTGAGGGTCCTTCTGTTTTCACTTGATAACCAGTTTGTAGCTTTAGTTCTGCATTTACTTATGGAATTATAATTACAGTATACTCTTGAAATTTGGGGACTTAGCATTCTCTGGTGCAGCTAGTCCTATAGTAACTTAAGAGTTACATTTGTAAGGTCCATGATGTAGAGAATCACGATACAAGGCTGGTATACCAGAGGCACTCACTCCTGTGGACATAGCCCAGCACTCGAATGTCAGTTACTGGGCCAAAGTTTCAGGGGTCTGAATACATGTCTTTGGCAAATGTAAATGTTCTTTACTTCTCCTTTTTATCCACTACCCAGTTTATTCAACTTGGAGTTCAATCTAACACAGCTGCTAGTGTGTTTTTATATTTAAGTAATTCATTCATAGTATCTTTAAACCATAGGTCCTCTGCTGTACCACTTTGAAAATTTGGCAAATGAACTTTCCATAGAATTGAGCTATGAGGATCTAAAAAACGTTGTTCTGCAGTATGGATTCCAGCTAGAGGTAAGGGTGGAATGAAGTATTGCCAAAGCTTACCTTCCAAAGCACTTAGCCAGGAATGATGATATTATGACATTTACTGTCCTTTCTCTTAACCTCTCTGTTTTCTTATCCATAAAGTGCATAGTTTTTAGAATTATGAGGATTTTGGATAATGTGTATGTAAATGCAAAACTATATCCCTGGTATAATCGCCTTTTAATAAATGGTAGCTCACCATTATCATATCATTGGCCTTTGTAGACTAATAGTTACCCAGTAGACTAGGCTCTGAGGAAGCAAGTGGGGATGGGAGGGCAGGTCAAGAGGGATATTGTTTACTACACTGCTTCTGTACTGTTCAACCTTTCTTATTATGTGCATTACTATGCAGTTGTATGATACTTTGACTATGTGTTTTAGCTGTACGTTTATTTAGAAACATTCTGTGCATTAAAAAATAACAGATGAGTTCTTAAAGATGAAGAGAAGCAACATAGTACAGTAGCTTGGTAGCTCTGGAGTTGGATTGCCCGAGTGAGAGCCCCAGCTCTACCACTTATTAGCAGTGTGACCTTCAATAACCTGCTCTTTGGAAAGTAGGGTTCCTAATAGTACCAATCTTATGGTAGTACTTGTATGAATAAATGAATTAATACCTAGAATATATATAAAATTGCAACTGCCACTTAAAAGTATTCAGTATTTGTTAGTGCTATCATCAAGGTGGTCATCATCATCATGACTGTTTGCATTGCAGGTGGAAAAAGAATCTGTCTTGTCAACATACACTGTGAATGATCTCTCCATGATGAAATACTACTATGAATGTGTCTTGTTTGTGGTCCGTAAACCACAATAATGGTCTCGAGTGATATCACCAGGAAAAAAGTTTAATAAGAGCAAATCCTGAAATAAACAACTCAAAAGCAACTATCAAATGACAGGACACAACCTCAAATCAGTGGTGCCTTCTTCTTCCTAACAAAGTTTAGAAATAGTGTCTATTTTCTTAATATGTCTATTGCTTTTTCAGAAATACACTATGCCATGCATATTTGTACTACACAAGTAAAAACGGAGGAAATGTCTTCGAGTTTACTTTTTCCTTGAAGCCCAGAATTGTCTTTCAGTAGAAAAAAACTTTATCTCTAGTGTCTTCATGAAGCTGTCTATTCCAAGTCTGCCATGCTGATGACTAATAGTATTGAAGTCCATAATAATCTTCTTTTTTGTTTTGTATGCTTTGCACATGTTATTTTTAGAAGAGTCTAAGGATCCTCTCATATTCAACATCTGGAATTGAGACTTTTATTCACTTGGACCTAAGCAATCTATACATAAAATGTGTCTGTTCTTTTAATATTAAAATCATTTTTTTTCTAGCTCAGCTGAACTTAAGGAAGCATCAAACCTTTCATTTTTAGGAAATATTAAATTTAATAGTATCACAGGCCAGTAAAAATGCATTCAAGTAACCGAGAAATTAGTGTCTTTTCGCCACACTAAACTGAACACTTTTTGAAAGCATACTCATCATGGATCACTGAAATATATGAAGATCTCAACAATCTAAGTGAGTCACAAAAGCCTTTATCAAAGACACTGTTAGGAAACTGGGAAAATAAGAATAAAATCTGCCCATTTGAAATGTATGATTTCAAACTATAAATTAATACAGTCTGTGAGATGTTTACAATGTCTTGTCTTTATATTACCTGGATACAAAAGCAAGCACTTTTTTCATTAAAACAAATATATACTAGTAAAAACTGTCATGATAGTATTAACGTGGGAAAATTTTGAATATGAAATTCAGGGATAAATTATTGCCCGTGGTCTGTCTTCAATATTGTAAGCAACAGCCATTAATATAATTTTCAGATTAACACCAATTTTGTTCCCTGATAGCTGGGGATAAAACAGTATACACTGTTTTAAATTTCTACCTCTAGCAGATCTTTATTGGAGGGAGTATTCCTTTGTATTTTTTTATGTTAATTATTCTGTTTCCTATAGCTTGGAAAGCAGAGATGACAAATACAATGTTTTAACCTTTTCTTGGAGAAAGGAAGTATGCTTGAATATTTTCATAGTTGATTGTGATGGCAATAAGTGACCTCTGTGGCAATTTGGATTAACTTCAATAATGTGCCGGTAGCATGAATGTCATGTTTTAATAGGAAAACTTACCTGTAAGTCTTTAAACCTTTATGGTTATTTGCGTTGGGGGAGTCACTACACGATTTGACATCTTACTAATAGGAGCTTTTCTGCATATAGTAAGGGAACTCTTGTGCCCTTCATGTAGCAAAGGAACACATGAAGCTCATTTGACTTGTCTATTTATGGAAGCCTATAACCTGTTGAGTTTGTTTTTGTTTTTTTTATGATTTATCTTTTTTGTGTCCCTCAATACTTGGTAGATGTTCTTTTAGTGGGAATTCTCATTTTCTACCACATGAATAAACTTGAAATAAATTGCTCCCCAAAATAATTATTTTTAAGAGACTTAAAAGGAACTTAGGTATTTAAAAAAAATCTACTGAAAGGAATGCATGCTCTTTTTTTGAGTAATTTAGAAAAGCTTTTTGTTCACTGACTAGTATTCACTTTTTTACATGTATCAAAACATGATCTTTTTCTCAGAGAGGGAAAAACAGGTTGACACTGATGGGCTGGCTTTACTACTTAACACTTCTGCTGTCAGGTTTTATTCTTTAATAATGTTACTTATATTTATAAATTATAGCTTACATTTTAGTTAATTCTGAAATCAGTTTTTTTTATCTCTCCCTCATATTATGAATACTTTAAATGTTCTACACAAATTTGCATTGCTTTTTTTTTCCTCTTATAGCTATCGCAGTTAATATATTCTATACTTGAAAATTGTGGTATTAATCAATAACAGAAGTGTCACTGGAGGATATAATTTTGTATTTCTTATAAGTAGTCCTACTAAAGTGTGTAAGCCTTAAAAGTTTTTTACTTTTTTGTTAAATTAGCTCTATACACAGATGTTTTCTTTCATTTTCTTAAAGCTGGAGGACATAGGTCATTCTGCTTGGTGGGGTTTTTTGTTTTTGTTTTTACATAATCTGAAGTGGTGCAGGTTAGGGTATTTTCATCAAGTAAGCAAGGTGGGATATGTAAAATATAAAGAGAAGCTGTATAAATCACAGTATAAAATTATGAAGTTCTGGAATTGTAAAATGTACTGTATTTATATGTAATTCTCATTCTAAAAGTTGCCACAAAGGCTGAATTGGAAGCTTCATGTCTGCATGAAATTTCCTGTATTTTTAATGTGTATGATGGACTTGATTTTTCTTGAATATTAAAGTCTGCCAATTGCTATGAAACAATATTTGCTTGGTTGTTTCCATCTAAATTAGTGATAATCATAAACATGGGAATTTTAATTAATTGAGCACATGTACTTTTGAACCCTTGGATTAGCTTCTGTATGCTTCTAGAAAGTCAATAATATGAGTTACTTGGTCTTTGAGTACGCCAGGCCTTATCCTAATTAATCCTGATCTTTGGTTGTGTTAAATAATAGAGAAAGAACTATAAAGGAAACCAGAAGCAGCAAGTTCCAGGACCAGCCATTAGTAGGACGAGCACTGGATTCAGCCCATAGATACTTGGGGCTCATTTTTCTGAACTACTGTTTGTGATCTTGGAGAAGGTGCTCTGAGTTTGTGTCATCATTTGTAAGAGAGGATTGATACCACCTATTTCAAAGCATTCTTAGTGAGGTCCTATGAATTATATGTATAACATTATATGTGAACATTTGAAAGCACATGGTACACAATTCAATGTGATTTCAGTCTGTGCTGACTACTGTATAGTAACAGGAAAAATTGAATGGTAACAGGACATTAGTTTTAATAATTTTATAGTGACCCTTTTTAAAAAGTTTCAGGAATCCTGTGGGGTAGGGGAGTCAAAATTGACATGTATAGTTACAGATTCCAAAAGTTCAGCAGGAATTATAAAGAAATATAATAGTAGTTAATGAGAGGGAGGACACAAGTAAAATGCGAGGGTTACTTTCACTTTACAAATATACTATTACGTGCTTCTAACATGTTTGATTATTTCTCTTCAGCTATTTAGAAGTGGGATCATTCAGTCAGTGTGCATGTTCACTTCCAGTCAAGTTGCCCTTCAAAAAGATTGCCAATTTACATGTCAACAGTGCTCGAGAGTAATTTTGTATCCATTCCCTGGCCAATTCTGGACATTGCTAATCTTTTATTTTCTTTTAATTTTTTCAATATGATAGGAAAAAGTGGTATCTAATTTTTTATTTTTTAATCCTCACCTGAGGACATTTTTGCATTTATCTTCAGATAGAGTTGGAGGGAGACAGGGAGAGAGAGAAACATCAATGTGACAGAGACATCGAGTGGTTGCCACCCACACAACCCCAACCGGGCTGGGGACAAAGTGCAATCAAGGTACATGCCCTTAGCGAGAAGCAAACTTGGGACTGTCCAGAGTCTGCAGGTTGATGCTCTAACCACTGAGCAACCATGGTATCTAATATTCATTTCTTTAAACATCACAGAAGTTGTGTGATTTATGTAAGATTAATGGCCAAAGAGAAGCATTCTTAACATGCCAGTCTGTCGTTTTTCACATGGTGGCCACACAAGCCATTGGCAATAAGGCAGAAGTTAGTAAAAATGTAATGAGGTTCATGAAGGGGAGAAATAACCATGAGGGCCACTTTGAGTTCTACCCACTGAGAGGAGTACCCACATCTGCTTTTGGTTTTACATAGCTTATACCAAGGCTGAACAGTGACAGCAGCCCATTCATTAGACCCCATTACGTTTCAACTTTGCCAATCAGTGATCTAGGCCCAGGAGTTTGGGGGTGTCTGAGTCAAGAGCCCCACTGAGCCAGCAGCTTTGGTTTGGGTAGCAGAGTGGGGCATAAAGTACCAAAGGAATAGTACTTTTTCATAGCACCAAAAAGCTGCTAGGGACAGGCCTGCTACTCTCTTGAATATGCTATTTCTGTTTGACTTGCAAGGCTTGTTGGCTCCTTCCACCTTATTAGTCATCAAGTCCAAGTTGACCCACCCCCAAATGGGGATGCCACACTGGAGTCACAAGGCCCCCACGACTCATGCATTCAGTTTCAACAAAGGCAGATTAGTTGTTGCCTTCTTTGGTAGAAAGGTGTATTTGGTAACAGTATCAGGCAATTGGGCTATTGTAGTATCTATCCATGGCCTCTCTCTTTCCACAGACATTGAGTCTTTAAAGCTGTGGTTTCCCTTTTTGCTTTTGGGTTTTTATATTATCTCTGCTGGACCACCCAGGAGGGGACATTCCATGCAATAGTCCTTGAATGTGACATTCATGGGAAGAAGTGTAGGCATATATCAAATCTATTATACATATGTAATATATAATTTCTGGTGTAGGATGCTTTGAAAAATATTTCCACAAATTTTTTGATTCTCCTCCCTCTGAGACAGTCTAATTCCTCTCCCTCTTGAAGTGCAGGTGGTAGTGACTCCCTTCTAACGAACAGGCATATATCAAATCTATTATACATATGTAATATATAATTTCTGGTGTAGGATGCTTTGAAAAATATTTCCACAAATTTTTTTATTCTCCTCCCTCTGAGACAGTCTAATTCCTCTCCGTCTTGAAGTGCAGGTGGTAGTGACTCCCTTCTAACGAACAGACTGGTAGAAATGTGTGCTTTCAAGGGCAGGGTCACAAAGACAATACAGCTTCTATTTTTCTCTCAGATCACTTGCACTAGAAGCCAGATGAGAACATTCAGGTAGCCCTATGAAGAATCCCACATAGTAAAGAACTGAGGCCTCCTGCAAATAGTCATATGAACTGATGAGCTTAGAAGTGGGTCTTCCAGCCCCAGGCAAGCCTTCAGATGACTAAAGCCCCAGCTAACATCTAGACTGCAACCACATGAGCAACTCTGAACCACCTACCTATGCTGATGAATTCCAGATCCACAGATGCTGACAAAATGTTGTTTTAAGCCACTATGTTTTTGGGGTAATCTGTTACACAACACTCTTCATTTCTTGTGTGCATCCAAGTTTCCACCTGGATTCATATTTGCACCTGAAGAACTTCAATATTTCTTGTGTTACAGGTCTTCCAGTAATGAATTTTCTCAGCTTTTGTTTATCTGAAAAGTATTCGTTTTACCTTTATTTTGAAGGATTTATTC